TAGCACTGTTCAGATGATGATAGCACTACAAGGCCACTCTTGCTGGTCACAGCTTCTGTTGACAAGATTGTTTTAAAGAAGCCAATTAGTGTCGACATTGATCTGAAAATTGTGGGTGCTGTTATATGGGTAGGCCGATCGTCAATTGAGATTCAACTAGATGTTATTCAGCCTGCAAAAGGTACTTCAATTGGGTCCATACAATTAGCCGTACCAGAATGGGCATTTTATTCTAGGTATATATGAAGAAAAAAGAGGGTAAAGGTCCAGTTAAGGCCACACAAAAATGTTAATAGTTTCTGCAAATTATTCTTTTAACAGTTCTTGCTACAAGTGGGTAAACTTTGAAGTTCTACGGATTTGTAATAAAATGATATTTTTTCTGTGAAAAGAGAACCATGATTACTACTTTCTTTTCGTGTTAATGAGAGCTAAGCAAGTTTCAACTTGCCAGCTGCTAGTAGTAAGATTCTTTAGACCTTTCTTCCATTCTCTATTGTTGTGGACATATATGATGGCAATTACACAGATTTAGTTCTTTGATTAAGTAATGATATTTGTCGCAGAAGAATCAGATGATTCAGAACCAGTAGCTCTAACAGCCAACTTCATCTTTGTTGCCCGTGACTCCAAGACTGGAAAAGCTGCTCCCGTGAACCGACTTTCACCAGAAACTGAACTTGAAAAGTTTCTTTTTGAAGAAGCTGAAGGTAGGAGTAATTTGAGGAAAAGGAAGAGAGTTGGAGATAGAAAGGAATTTGAAAATGGAGAGGTAAACCAATTGGAAGCTCTCTTGGCTGAGGGGAGAATATTCTGTGACATGCCAGCCTTAGCAGATAGGGACAGCATTCTTCTCAAGGATACCTGCCTGGAAAATTCTTTGATTTGCCAGCCACAACAAAGGAACATCCACGGTCGAATTTTTGGAGGATTTTTAATGCACCGAGCCTTTGAGTTGGCTTTCTCAACTGCTTACACCTTTGCAGGACTAGTGCCTTGCTTTCTAGAAGTTGATCATGTTGATTTCTTAAGACCTGTAAGAACCTCTCAACTTTCTGTTTGAAATGTACTTGATTGTGATGGTAACTATCAGAAAAGAGAAGGGAAAAATAGAAAAACTTGAAATTATTTAAGTTTAAAAAAGGTCACAGCTCAGGTTTCATGGTCATACATAGGTCTGCCTTTCATGTCTATACAGTGGGAAAAGCTGCGTCATGTGGCAAGGGAACCTCTATAGAAATTATCACTTGCATTTGTTTCTGCTTCCTGGCATCTCATGTTTGAATTAGATTTTTGGAATGTGCTTAAAGTTCTTTGCCCATATATATCGTTTCTTTGCTCATGTCCCTAATTATTATTATTTATCCTTGGGAAATGGAAAGGCAGAAAATTCATTACGGGCAAGATTTAGTTTTCTGGTATTCCTTTGTCATGTTTTGGTGAAGTTGCTTGGTCCACAGTGCTAATTTGTTGTGGTCATGCTGAATATAGCCAATACAGATGTCATTCTACAAGAAGTTATGCTGTTAAGATGGACATCAACTTTGCATAAAAGATTTTCCCTTAGTTCACTCATCTTTCTCTCTTTCTTTCTTTCTTTTTTAAATGGCTACTTAACTCATCTTTTGTTGGATATTATTAACTAACTAGGAGAAAACATTCATTTCATTAGGTGGACGTTGGGGACTTCTTGCGCTTCAAGTCATGTGTTTTATACACTGAACTTGAGAATCCTGATCAACCTTTGATCAATGTTGAAGTTGCTGCTCATGTTACAAGGCCTGAAATTAGATCTAGTGAGGTAAACCCCTATTGACTTCCACCCATCCACAATAGCAATTAGTTTTTTTGTTATCATTAGCAATTAGTTTCGGAGTTCCATAACAGTATAATTTGTCTCTGATTGATAAACCAGGTATCAAATACATTTTATTTTACTTTCACTTTACGTCCTGAGGCAAAGGCCACAAGGAATGGATTTAAGATCAGAAAGGTGGTTCCTGCAACAGAGGAAGAAGCACGTCGAATTTTAGATCGCATGGATGCTGATGCTTGAGTTGGTGAGGAAGAATCAAATCTGCAGATAAGAATATTTGCTGAACATTATAACTCTTCAGCTTCAGGCAATGCAACCACTGAATCAGTATACATATTATCAGCAATAGAGGTAGAATTAGCTATGTCACGAATTTCTGTGACGCAAGTGGTTTCCACCATAAGTTTTACGGATTTAAGGACCTCATGTGTCTACAATAAATTACAAGCCTTACATTTGCCCTGACTGAAATACATATGCATTGAAGTGCTTTAACTTAGCTCATCATTATTCTATGTAAGAACTTATGTATTTTGATATTGTTAAAAATAACTATTTTGAGGGATTACAAGTAATTAATTATTAGGTACATTACAAATTGCATGCCAGTAATGGACGAGATTTACCCCAAAAAAAAAAAAGGGCGAGTCAAGATAAGATTTGTCCTTCTAGACATTGGCTCCAGACAACCCCTGCCACTGGCGTGTGGGTGGCAAGGCCATAGGCTAGAACTTGCGCATCACGGTGTTAGGCTTGCTACCAGCACCGGCATGTGCCTAGTAGGGGCACGCAGGTGTGTGGTAGCAGCACCACCCTTGTGTTGCAGGCGGGCAACATGCAAGCTGTAGAGGCACAGCTGCACGACTACCAATATGGCAGCACCATGGGTGGTGGGCCTTAGCTCTAGGGTTTTTTAAGGCCTGTTTTTGACTTTTAATCCAGTTTGATATTTGCAAGTTTGAAACAAATTCGATTAGTGATTAATTTTTCAAATTTAGAATGATTAAGTCACAAGGAGAAAAATGACGTTAGAATAAACAAGAGCTATATCTAATTTATGCAACAAATAGATTACATGATGCATGATCATCAGCCAAACTTAAACTTATTTGGATTTTTGGGATGTAAATTTCAATACGGCCTACATGTCATGTGTCCCTATTATTCTCATGTATTTCTATGCGCTTCTCCGCTTATGTGAATATTCTATTCAATATAATATAAAATTAATTTATTAGAAATAGAATAGAAGATGAAGATCGAGAAAAGTGGTTTAAACAATGAGTTTATTTTGTGACACGGACTTAAGGAATTATTCCCTGAGTTTATTTTGTGGGGTTACCATCCGCTTGCTACACCAACTTAAGGGCTAATGATCATAATACAGTAATTTTACATATTTTGTTATTAATGTGACAAAGCTTTGAATATGTATGATTTTTTTGTGCGTCAAAAAACAAATAAACAATTTTAAGTTATTCACTGGAGAACCAGAGACAATGATGAATAAGGGAGAGAGTAATTTATTTAGTTTATTTCATTTTATAAATCTTTTGTTATTAGTAATTAAGATGAATAAAAATTTATTTATATATAAATTTTATATATTATTTTTATATAAAATTTTAATTATTAATTTTTTTATTTTTAATAATTAAAATTTATTTATATTTATTAAATATAATTATTTTTTATCTAAAAAATTATTATAAAATTTAATTATTAAAAAATAAAAAATTAAAATTATATATAAATATAATATATAAAATCTAAAGATATATTAAAGTAAAACAAAAAAAAAAAAACTTTTTATATTCACATTGTATGTTCACATTTGTTTACACTTATAAATTATATAAGTTTTATTTTTTGAACTGTGAACTGGATTGGAACCAGTTCAAAAAAACTTTCTTTTCAAAAATTATGTTTTTCTTATTTATTTCCCTTTTTATTCCCTTTTTATTTTTATTAACTGAAAATAACCTGCACCATTTTTTATGGAAAAGTCTAAAGCTCATCTTTTCCTCTTCTCCACCGCAAACTGAAACCCTATCTTCCTCAATGCTGCCGAATCTCCTTCCTCACCAAAGCCATGGCCGTCGTCGATCTTCATCATCTTCTCTCCTTCATTGCTGCCGAACCCCTTCCTCACCAAAGCCATGACCCTCCCTTCCTCATTGCTGCCGAATCTCTTTCCTCACCAAAGCCATGGCCATCGAGCATTCCGGATCTAACAAATCATGAAGCGTCAATCTTCATCATCTTCTCTCCTTCATTACTGCCGAATCACTTCCTCACCAAAGCCATTACCCTATCTTTCTCATTGTTGCCGAATCTCCTTCCTCACCAAAGCCATGGCCGTCGAGCATTCCGAATCTAACAAATCATGGCGTTGATCTTCATCATCTTCTTTCCTTCATTGTTGCCGAACCCCTCTCATGGCTGTCGGACCACTTGCAAGCCAGATCTAACAAACCACCGCAACCCTCTTTTTTTTTTTTTTTTCCCTTGATCATTGCTTTGTTGTTTTTCCCTTTTTCTGTTCTTTCTTTGTGTTGATGGTGATTTCTGGTTGCAGGCATTGATCAAAAAGACCAATCTTAACCCAAGAAAGATTTGGGTATGCTTCAGCTACTCAACTTTGGAGCCATGAGATGGAGGTTGAAGTCCCTTTTCGTACACTTTTGATTATGGTTGGGCTTTTTTACTTTAGAGAATCATTCTAGGCAATGTGGAAATTGTTTCAAATGTTCTAACTAAATGTTTTGCTTGATAAGCAAAGCTTAGAGTTTGTTTGAAAATGATGAACGGTTCAAAGCAGTTGAATGACCCAGAGACCGAGAGGATCTTTATGAGAGCTACATTGTGGAACTTGAGAGGAAGGTAACTATTAGTAACTTCTGCTTAGTTGTGCATCTGTGTATATATATGTTGGTTGCAAAATATGGATACGGTACATATTAATTATCACATTTTTTATGCTTCAAAATTATATACCTCAATGAGACAAATGGGAAAGAATACCTCTATGTTGTTTGTATGAATTAGGCTCATGTTCTCTAATTCAGAAGGAGATATAAGTGAGAAACTCTCTTAAATCTTCTTTTTGTATATTGTTTCTGGTTTGACAATATTATTATGTGATTTTGTATTATTCTCTGGTTTATTTATCATTAGGACAATAAATTGTGGGACATTATATTAGCATTTTATATATGCCTATTTAGATGTAAAGTCTTGTACCCTAGCTAGCCTCATTGTATTTTCATCATTTTATTTATGTCCTCAATCAATACTATGATCTTGGGGTTTTTGGACAATATATCTAGATTTTAGTGTAAAAAATATATTCAAAAAACTTGGGCATGTCTGTCTCTATCAACTACAGATTCACTATGACTAACTTCAAATTTTTGTGGGTGCCTTAGCAGAATGGTCAAATACATAATGTATTTGACCATTTGCATTCTGTCTCCACTTGTGTCATATCTATTGGTAGTTAGGCATTCTTGTGTATATTGGGAGACTAGAAGAACTAATCTAAATTCTACTTGGTGGTGCTATTCTTATTGTTTATTTCTATATTAATGCAGGAAAAGGAAAAGGCTGCTGAGGAGCGTAGGCAGTTTGTGGCAGAATATAGGAAATTTTTGGAATCCTATGATTTTATTAAGGTATAAGTAATGGGGGGTATAAATATTTCCATTTATAAGATGTTCTGATTTTTTTAACTTACATGATTTGTGATACAATTTGAAGGTGAACAGCCAATGGTGAAAGGTTCAAGATCGATTAGAGGATGATGAAAGATGCTCACGTCTTAAAAAGATTGATTGCTTGCTTTTCTTCTAAGATTACATTGATGACTTGGAGAAGGAAGAAGAGGAAAAGAAGAAGATACGAAGGTAGAATACATTTTTATGATAATAAATTTTCTTCCAATATCTGCTCTTTACCTTTTTTTTTTTTTGGGTTAAATCTAAGGAACAATTGAGACATGCTGAGCAGAAAAACCGTGATGCATTTTGCCAGCTAATGGAAGAACATGTTGTTGATGGCACTCTAACTGCTAAAACTTATTGGCTTTATTATTGTTTGAAGGTATATCCCCTATTTAATTTTCTTCCCTTAAATATTTGAAGGAGAGCGGTTGAAATCCAGCATTGCAAGGTATTGCATTTTTGCATCAGAAATAGATCCTAGCATGAATTGCTTTCTTGCTTCATTTTATTATGTTTGATCAAATGAAATGGTTTTAATGATTCAATATCTAAATATTCTTGCAATTCAAACATTAAGGGATTTTTTTCACAGATTTCTGGAATTTGACAAGGGATGATCACTTGCAGGCCAGATCTAACAAACCACCGCAGCCCTCTTTTTTTTTTCTTTTTTTTTTTTCCCTTGATCATTGCTTTGCTGTTTTTCCCTTTTTCTGTTCTTTCTTTGTGTTGATGGTGATTTCTGGTTGTAGGCATTGATCAAAAAGACCAATCTTAACCCAAGAAAGATTTGGGTATGCTCCAGCTACTCAACTTTGGAGAGGTAGACTCCAATAAAAATTTTCAAAGACGTTATTTAATGCTCAAAAAGTAAGTGTCATTTTTTATGTGAATGAGTCTGCCAAATTTTTTATTGGATAGTGTTTGTGTAAATTTGCATGCCATGGATAAAATTTGAAAAAACAGCTTTTATTTACGTGAATTAGAGAAATAATTTAAATTTGGACTTGGGACCTCTTATACGATGCATTATTTAATACGAAAAAAGCATGACTCCTCCTTTTTATTATTGCTTTTATTTTTAAATGATGGATTATATGCTTATAGTAAAAAATTTAGTGTTTCTTTTTATTGAAAATTATATTCCAGATTTTGACATATTGTTGGTCAAATTAGAATTTTGCATCTTTTTTTAAGATATAATTAGCTCCTATCTTTCATCAGATAATCAAATAAAGCCCTAAACATCCTGATTAATCAACTTAGATTTTTAAGGAATTATCTTTGATATTAAATAATAATACATTAGTTAAAGAATAAAAAACTATACTACCTTGGTATTACATGAGGTTCCCTAGCTTATTGTCTGGTTGGACTGTGTTAATTTGGTGATTGCAAATTTTAGATTGATTTTTTCAGGCTTTCTCCTCATTTTCTAACATAAATTACCACTATTGCAGGGACTTCTCCCACATTGTTCTTGTTCGCTACCTGGAATTAACGGTTAGAGTTTATGATTTATCCTATCACTTCTTCTTTTTTTTCCCTTTCCTGTCAGCCATCTTCTAAAATGAACTTATGAATTTTATTTTATGCACTTTGCTTTTTACTTCCTAAGAAAATCATTTGGCTGATGCAGTTTACAACCCAGATTAAACTGAAAATTTGTTGTTATATTAGGTCAATTTAAAGAGCACAGTCTTGAACTGATTAATAGAACTGGCACAACCAAATGCTATCTTGAAACATGGATGTACTACATAATTTGCTTATTCTTTTACGTTATGAACTGGTAAACTACAAGTTCATGCATTGATTGTATTTGTTTTCCTTTTGTTTTTCCTTTAAGCTTGCGAAATTTTTGCAATGGAAGACATAATTCATTTTGGCATATATTTTTCTTATGGGAATTGACGTTGATATATCACATCATTCTTTTACCTTTTCATTTGATATGTCATGTCATTCTTTGATAGGACTGTGCCAATATATCTGGTTAACCCCAAAAGATTTGTTTGAGGATGTTGCTGAAGGATTAGAAAAACAGGTATTTCACATATAATCTCCAGAAATATGCTTAAAATGGTCTCTTTTACATGTTGCTTCGTCTTTTATTGTTAGGATCAAGTTCTGAAATATTATGTATTGCTAGGATCAAGTTCTTCCTGCATATAATGTTATACCAGTTTCTGTTTTTTTGTATCACAAAAGGAGTGCAAATTCTAATGATTAAGATGTTTTATTTTATTAAAACGATAAATGTGGTGCATGAAAAAATTATTTTTAACCATCAGGTGATGGTTTTTTTTTTACTTATTTATTAAATTCGAAATATTCATATTTATTATTTAATTTTTTCTATATAGCCTATTTATAATATGTTGCATTTTAGTCTTTAATTTGATGCATTCCATTATTTATTGTTATATATTCCCAATGCATTGAAAATTTACATTCATTTGCTTATTTTAATTTCTATTTCTAATTTTGCAAACTTTATTTTTTTAATTCTTTAGTTGATAATCTGTCCAATAAATATTGGTCATTTGAGGAGTCTCTTTTGCATGCATATAATGTTATACCAATCTCTGTTTTTTTGGTGTCACCAAAAGAATACAGATTTTAATAGTTAAGATGTTTAATTTTATTAAAATGAAAAAATTATTTTTAACCATTAGGTGATGGGTTTTTTAATTACTTATTTATTAAATTTGAAATATTTATATTTATTATTGAATTTTTTTTATGTCGTCTATTTATAGTTTATTGCATTCCAATCTTTAATTTGATGCATTCCATTATTTATTGTTTTATATTTCCAATGCATTGAAAATTTACATTCATCTGTTGATTTTAATTTTTATTTCTAATTCTGTGGACTTTATTTTTTAATTTTTTTTGATAATCTATCCAATAAATATT